CCATAAACATTTCACCAACTCCCGAACCCAGAAATTGTGGACTGCCGGGTCTCGGGGTCGGGGGTCAGTGCTCGGGACTTGGGAAATTTGGGGAGATCAATAAAATTTGATCTACAATAAGTTTGATTTACAAACAAATTGATTTACAAACTTTTGAAAGATATGTTGTCTCACATATTGAGTCCTGAGTTCCGGGACCCCCGAACCCTGAAACCCGAGACCCGGCAGTCCACAATTTTGGGGTTTGGGGGTGGTAAAATGTCTATGGATATACAAAAGGTTGATTCAAACATGTTTGAAAGATGTCTTACCCAGAACTCAGGACTCGATTTTTGAGATGAAAGACATCTTTCAAACATGTTTGAATCAACCTTTCATATATCCATAAACATTTTACCAACCCCCGAACCCCGAAATTGTGGACTGCTGGGTCCCGGGTTTCGGGGTTTGGGGGTCCTGGAACTCGGGACTCGATATGTGAGACAACAGATATCTTTCAAAAGTTTGTAAATCAATTTGTTTGTAAATCAAATTTATTGTAGATCAAATTTTATTGATCTCCCCAAATTTCCCAAGTCCCGAGTGCCAATCCCCGACCCCCGAGACCCGGCAGTCCACAATTTCGGGGTTCGGGAGTTGGTAAAATCTCAGGGTTCGGGGTTCGGCACTGTGAAAATTTGACATTTATATTTTTGCGAGTGTTGTGCTTCTGGTGTCCGTGTGTAGAAATAGGATATGTTGCACACCAGGGTTCAGGTGTGGGGTTTTCCCACTTCAGTACTTGATTATTGGTCAATGCCACACATGGTCGATTCATGTTTTCGTGCTTATGGGTTTAGATTTCAGTGGTCAATGGTAGGTATATGCACTCATAGTGTGCATGTATCCTACATATTTGATTCGCTGGTGGCTACATCAGCTGTATGTCTTGATGAAACATATCTAGGCTCACCCATATATGTACCCATCTATGTACAATTCCCCCACATCAGCCCACCCATCTATGTAATATCCCCCACATTGGCCCACCCGTCTATGTAATACATCCTACATCGGCCCACCCGTCTATATAATTATACCCCACCTCGGCCCACCTGTCTATGTAATAAATATTTTATCACACCCTCGGCCCACCCGTCTAATTAATATCCCTTATGTCGGCCCACCCGTATATGTGATATTCCACCACCTCGGCCCACCTGTCTATGTAATAAATATTTTGTCGCACCCTCGGCCTACCCATCTATTTGATATCCCTTATGTCGGCCCACCCGTATATGTAATACTCCCCACATCGGCCCACCCGTATATGTAATATGCCCCACATCAGCCCACCCGTCTATGTAATATTCCGCTACCCCAGCCCACCTGTATATGTAATACACCCCTGTCGGCCCACCCATCTATATAACAATATTTGCCTTACCTCTCTCTTCAGCCCAGCTGTCTATAATATTCTACTCTACATATTACCCAGATGGGCCCACCCATCTCCATGAATGATCATATTCCCCCAGCCCATCCGTCAACATCAAGGATATATATATCATTGGCATACATGGGCCCACCCATCTCCATCGGAAATAATATGTTACCCGGCCCATCCGTCATCATCGAGGATATACACAACATGGGCCCATGGTCCGCTGGCCCGTCTGATATGGGATATTATGTAGGTCGGGTGGCCCGTATAATACAGAATTTGTCACTGAAGGGGCTCATCCTCAACTATATTGCCAATCACCCAGAGCAGCGGCACCTCTTGGGTGTTCCCACAGTGCACGAGAATCATCCAGGTGAGTTTGTCGCAACATGACCATTCTTAATTCTCATGTATGTAATTTTTGAGGCATGGCAACAGTTCCAACTTCATCAAAGACCTCGCCTGTGCCATGGACGTCAACACGCTCGAGCATGCTCCAGCCAGACACAAAGTCAAACAACACTGTATTTCAAGCGTCTTCGGTCATTGCTGTGAATGGGGACAAGGTCGCCATTGATAAATATGCAATTTTGCGTGGCAACGGACAGCTGCCTGTTGAGGTGAGGATTTTACATTTGCCATGCTGCTGTTATCTTATGCAATCTCAGATGTCTATTGGAAAGATCGTCGAAATAATTGTTTCAGAATCTAGCCCTCGTCTTGCAAGTCATGTTGTCATCCAGCCTCTTCATTTTCTACCCGATGTAGAAACTACAATACAGAGTGGGGCTATACGAAGATGGCTCCAAACTGATATATTTGTGTTGTGGTCTTTGCACTGCCTAGTCTGCTATACTTGCCTGACAAGTGCGTTCGACCCAGGGGTCTGCGATCTGGGAATAGTCTTGGGGGTAAGTGAGTGGTGTGTGATCAATAGTCCGAGCGCGGGAAACAATGTCCGAAGGTATATTTACGATGTCCGATGCAAAAGCGTCGGGTTTGTCGGGTCGGATAGTCAGATTCGGGTCGGGTATGCGGAAACTAATAGTGACGCGTTATGCGAGCGTCGGAAAAGCGAGCGGTATGCGTGATGACAACGATGATTGATACGGATAATGAAAGAGCGATGATATTCGCAATATCAACTAAGAACTATGAAATATCGGATTTGACCACTAAGCGTCGGGGAACTGCCTTGGATAATGAATAATGCTCGAGGTCAGTCCAATATATATGTAAGTACGTAGAAATGCGGAACCCATAGGCGAAGATAGCGGCCGATGATTTCGGATCCGAAGTACATGTAAATAAACATGAGGTGCTGCGGACTATGGGAAAACATGTAATAGCGCTTGCTACGACGTGAGTAATGTGTGAATTAATGAACTACGCACCTAGTGGGGCTAGCAAGACAGGACAAGACACGGGAAGGACGAGTGCGCGGGAATTTGCATCGGCCGATGCGGCCTAAATGTCGGGTTGGCGGGTTAGTGTCGGATAACATCGGGAAGTGATTAGCATGTGACGGGTATTTGACATGTACTGTGAAATAGCTCGATACGAGCCCAGCGCCAGCTCGTGTCCTACACCGATATCCACCCCCAGTTGTGATTACCTCAGTTGCAACTTGCTGATGAAAACCGCTTGCTATTGCCCTCAGTAAGAGTGACCCATTCTTCATTCTTTGCAAATAGCCAATTTACATTGATTTCAGAACATATTATCTGCTGTAAACGTACAGCATGACTGTGCGTCATCGAGCTGTGGCGAGTTTGTATCTGTCAATATACAACAAGAACGCACTGAGACGACGAAGACCAAGACATCACTTGTGCATAAAAACACTGGCCGTTTTGAATGCCCATTCACTGCACAATTACACCCTCATATCCCAGGTCATCCCCCACCCCCTTCGCATGGCAATGGACCTCCCTTATTTGCCAAACTCACAAGAAGTACGGTTAAAAGCAGCAAGGGCTGTCAGAGCAAAGAAGGCTGGAACCACAGACCCAGCTGAATGTATTGGTAGCGCCCCTCCAGTATTTGAACGTGAACGCACTACCCATAAGCCCAAGCAAGGTGAGAAGGGTAAGAAGGCGCAGCAAGTAGCTACTGGTCCCTCCCTTCAACCACCTATCCATCCATCCCCAGTGCCACAACCACTGCTCCATCCACTTGCACATCCGGCATTCTCTATCCCCCCAACACCAGTGCCACAACCACCGCTCCATCCGCTTGCACATCCGACATTCTCTATCCCCCCAACACCAGTACATCTAACCGCTTCCCATCCTCCTCCAATGCCAGCATATGCAGGCGCCTATCATTACCCAATGTACCCATCACCGTATGTATTCTCCTCTGGCCCCCTTATGTACCCACTTCCTTCCCCTGCAAATACTCACTGGCATGCGGGACCTTGAATATGACGAGGTCTACAGTACATACTTCTACAATACACCTATTACGATCCAACAAAAATATCACCCATCTTAAAGCATGATAAAACCGATAAGTCCTATTTATAGTATAGATAGTAGAAATAGATGTCGTGCACAGTTGGGTTGTCTCAGACCAGTGAACTTTACCACCACTCGCTGCAGATTCAAAAACTAAAATCGATTTCATTGCAACATGACTGGCAATATTGATGTCCATGCATTCTATGTTGAAGGGGCTACTGCTGCCTCTTATTGGGTTGGGGATTCAATCACCAATATCGGCCAACTAAGAGCCTCCCTTCAATGCCACGCTACAGTCAAGTTCGACAGAGAATGGTTACAACCACCTGAGATTCACCCTGACCCAAATTCTGTCCTTCTCGCCACAAGTAAGCATGTTTTTGTCAACATGAATATTCATTCATGTTGCCTCCAGATGTCCATGGTACCGCCATGCTTGAAGATAACTCGATGACCCTCAAGAGCGTGTGTGATTCGGCGAACCACATTCTTGCTATCATTCCCTCCCAGCAGTTACAACCCTCCAATTCTCCCTCACTCACGGCAACCATGACCCAATCCTTGGCGAGTCCCGCCCATATGAAGCATCAAGAGTTGATCAACCTGGTGCTATCACTAAACAATGCCCTGAAATTCAAGGAGCAAATGAAGATTGAACAACAGGCTCAATTTCAGGAGTTAATGCAGGTGTTTAAACGCGATCAACTGCGGAGGGAGGAGGATACGAAACAAGAGTTCCAGCGATACGCCAAGGATGTGGAGCGACAGTTGAAGGATAATCAGCATCAAACCAACATTCTCAAGCAAGAACACATCCTTGACCAATCACAAATCAAATTCTTAGAGGACAGGCAAGAAGAGGACAGATTGCGGATTAAGGACCTGGAGGATAGCCAACAACAGAACAACTCGCGGATTAAGGACCTGGAGGCATCGCTTCTCGAGGAGAAGAAGATCAGGATGGATGAGAAGGAACATAACGAGAATGAGAAGATAGCCATGCTAATGAGGATCGAGGAGATTGAAGATGAGCATATTGCAGCTGCTGGGTGGGTCAGCGGTGCGGTAAGTATCACATATTTAATGGAATAAATGATGTTTGAACCATTGGTTAGGACACCAAACTCGTGGATCGCATTTTACTCCATCACTTACTTGATCTCGCGCAAGCAAAGCTAGCCACCGTGTCTGGACTTCCCAAACGCAAGAACGCCCTCTGTGTGATGCAGTCACTCCTCTGGAGAGAGGCACTGGCTTCCTCCAAGACAAATGCAGAGCGCTTGCAAACTGCCCATACAATGTTGAATGCACCAGGGTTGTCCCTTGACACTGCCACAAAAAAAATTATCTTATCGCACACCGGGATGAATCTTGTGGTCCAGAAACCATCAGAGATCTGTGAAATGGGAGATAATGTAGCGCACCCAAAGAGTGTATCAAAGGAAGCATATAAAAGAATAATCGCGCGACACACTATCACTGAAAATCACGCCGGACTTCATGCTATCTTGGAGTATGTCGATCCTGCACCCCAGTCCAGCTGATTTCCCAATCATGTATCATTCGCAACATCGTATTTTTAGATTTTTTTCCTTTCCCTCAGTGCATGTTACGAGTACGAGTATGCAGATTTTACCAATGTACTATCAGGATTTTCGGTCACGTGTGAATGAATCATGTCCGGGTTGACTTGGAGTTTCTCTGTTCGTTCAGTGTTTATTGCACAGTGCCTGCCTGGTTCCTGCTTGGTGATTATGAGCTATCTCAGTCAATTCCGACTCCAACAGGCACCCGTGCCTCTGTTCCCTCGAGCTGCTATGTCTAGCCCACCGTCATCCCCACTTGCAGCTTGAACACCACATGGGTCTGCAACCCGTGATAGGATCAGACGACAGATCGAATCCACAGAGTCACTGGAGGCTGAAATTAAGCGGCTCAAGACTTGTGCTACGGATGTTTGCAGGACTAACAGATTACCCGATGATGCATTAGACCAATTTGCTACAGTAAGTCATCAGGATGCATAGTATAGGCAGTTCTTAACTTCAATCATGCAGAAAACCGAAAAGGAAATGCTACTAAATGTCATGGGACATCTCATCGCCCTAGACAAGCGAAAGGCAAGAGATGATGCTCGTGAGCTCGTTAGCTCGGCGGAATTCAAGGTACAGGTCCACCTCTCTTATGTTTACTGCTCTTATGTTGCTTCAAGCAATCGCTCACTGACAGGCTTCGCACATGCCTATTGTCTCCCAATCTTTCGGGATATGTGACACACTTGTCTCAGAACCTCTTCGTGAGTCTTTTATCCTTATCTGACAAATAAAAATTGATGATTTTTCAGGAATTTGTAAAGAAACACCCTTCTGTATTTAAGATACCTCTTGTCACCCTGCAGGATCTCGAGCTTATGAATAAGTTGGACTCGATGATTAAGGAACTGCTTATGCAGCAGTGTGAAAGCATGAAACAAAAGGTTTGTCGATTCCTGAGCTGCTATTATATTTTTAATGTCTCAAATGCAGATCGTTACTTCTGCTGATAGAGGATCAAATATTCATGCACTTTGTCGGTCGTTATTGGGTAACTGTACCGAGATTACTTCAGTGCACTGGTCTCGTGTGGCCTTTCTGGCAAGTCAATTCACAACTCTACCATGTTTTGCGCTCACTCTAATCTAGCGCTCTTCACTGATTCAATTCCGGACTGTTGTCCAGAGAGTGCAAAGCTTCAAGAGGAAGTCACTTCGAATAGCAACATTGCACATGTGCCAGCAGATCTAGAAGGCGACGAGGTCGAACCCAGCCCTTCAGCACTCACACAGTGCACTTGGACATTTAATCAATACTGGAGCTATATCGATGTTCTTTTAGATGAGCTCAGGGACGATGCTAAGAAGAATACATCTACGATTCAGGCAGCTGAAGAATTCACTAAAAAGTGTGTTTTACTGCTTCTCGCGTTAATTTGACCTCATCATTGATTTATATAGATTTTTCACGGAGGTCCTCCAAGTTGACTTGCGAAAATACCCGAGTACAACGACCCTCGCACCATCCCTCGACTCTGTGACCGTGGACTGGCAAAAGACAATTCATAGCAAACTTATTTGGTGATTGTTCCATCATGTCCTACTATACTTTAGATACACTATGATAATAATGATGAATTGCTCTCATATTTTGCGCCATCCATTTGTTGATGTATAATATATATATAGTTGAATTTCGACGTCCCTGTGGTATACATACAATGGTGATGAAGTGTCGATGGGACCTGATGTTAATATTGTGGTATTATTTCGCTTCCTTGGTTGCTCGTCCCTTGCGCAGACCTTGTGCGAAGGTTGGCTCATATTTTGCGCTGTCGCTGCAAGTTTATTTGCTGATATATATATATAGTTGAATTTTGATGTCACCGTGGTATATATGTAATGTTGATGAAGTGTCAACAGGACCTGATCTTAACCTTACTTACATGTTACGGAGCTAATATTGTGGTATCATTTTGCTTCCTTGGTTGCTCGTCCCTTGCGCAGACCTTGTGTGAAGGTTGGCTCGGCTGTCAGCAGTACCCAGGAAGGTCGGTATCGAGGTTATATTTGGTTCATGGTCTTTGTAACATTTCCGGAAATCCTCCGGTCAACCATAACCCTATGTAGCATTAGGAAAAACCTCCCACTCTAGTTAGAACTAATTTTCACTAATTTTCGAAAATTAGTCTAACTTTCACTAATTAGATAAATTAGATGATTAGGAACACTTTATTGGTGCCCTGCTAATTAGCACTAATTTTACAATCCTAGAGCTAATTATTAAAAGTTTTGTAGCATCCTATTGAAAGTTATGAGCATCCTAGCTGCACTGGACATGTTTTTCAGGCTTAATATCACACACAATGTTCAAATCAATTAGGTTTCAATTGGAACTGGGCATCAGGACGAGTACAGTAAGGTGTAAGATGTAAGGAATGAGCGCTATGTTACTATAAAACAATATAATGACTAGAATCGGCCTCAGCAGTCTGACTCGGCGCTGCACGATGATCGAACACAACTTAGGGATAGGGATCAGCATGGCTTGAGCTCGAAGGGGGATTGACAGACTCACTCACTGCGACTCCCCATCCAGAGCCGAGTCTACATGTGCTGCGTGCGAGCAAGAACAAGAGTGCGATGAGCAAGAATGAGTGCTGCCTCTTGTCCTTTTCATATCTTCGGTGTCCTGGTGTTGTCCATGAGTGTTCGCGCTACGTCAGCACTTGCTGGTGTGCATTGGGCGTTCGCGCATGGTGGTCATTGGTGATGATGGTGTTGGGGTATGCGCTAATGCCGGTGCGAATGGTGGGGGCGGGGCAGCGTGGCTCGAGCTTGAATGAGGATTGACAAACTCATGAACTGCAAATGGTGGACGACGACTTGGATCAGTGTGGCTCGAGCTCGAATGAGGATCGACAAACTCATGAACTGCAAATGGTGGACGACGACTTGGATCAGTGTGGCTTGAGCTCGAACAAGGATCGACAGACTCACCAACTGCGAATGGTGGGCAAAGACTTGGATGAGCATGGCCATTGCTCGAACGAAGATCGACACACTCACAAACTGCGAACAGTGGCCAACGACTTGGATCAGCATGGCCGTTGCTCGAATGAGGATCGACATACTCACCAACTGTGGACGGTGGCTTGAATGAGCATGGTCATTGCTCGAATGAGGATCAACAGGATTTGACCTCCATAGCAAAGTTGGCAAATGATTGGATGCGGTAGAGAGGGAAGGATGACGTGGCTTCAATGTTGAACATTCGGATGTTGAAGCTAAAAGTCACGTGAGTCAAACAAAAACAAATATGCGCAAATGTTGGACTTGTAATTTGTTGCTCATGTCAACAAGTCTGATGCAGCCTCTATACTCTGTACCACCACTTGCCGTGTCACCTACTTCCGTATGTTTATAGGATGAGCTACTTGATCATGGAGATGAGTCATTTAGTGAGTCATTTGTTTCTCATTCATGCACATGTACTAACATCTCATAGAATCTAAATCTATCCTTCCCACCCGTGCGCAGTGCTAGCTCCTCCCATACCTGTGTCCTGCTCACTTGTGCCGGTCTGGCACTCCTGTTTCCTTGTCGGCGCCTTCCCATCCATCCTCCCTGCGCAGATCATCCACGTTGACCCCTGCAAGCTCTTGTGCCAGTTGATATTATTAATTTGTAGTTACTAGTACATGTTTTTTGTTTATTTTGAATGCATACGTGCGCAACTCGTCAAAACCTGTTCGAAAATGGGTAGAGCTCTTGATACAATAACCCGCGCTAATCCCTAGACATACTTTTGTGACTTTGCGCTAGTTATGTACAAGTTTTGAAAATTTAAAGAGCTTAGGTCAAAATTTTACTAGCTTAGCGAGCTTAGGTCAAATTATTTTAATTTTGTCTAAGTTAAAATGGGAGGTTTTTCCTGATGAGATGTGTCACAATCCTATTTTTGGGTCATGACAATGTTTGTGACGATTCTCAGTGTACTCAGCTGTGTTACTTTCAACCTTAATTGAGTTTTGTCCAACTCCAGCCGAGAGTTAGCAAGCTTTAGCGATGTTTTAATTTCTACTCTGAGTACCATTACTGTCACGAGTTCCAAATACAAACCATTATACGTTCCTAAATTCTAAGTCCTTTAAGCGCCCAGTCACAGCGCCTGTTACTAAGAAAGTATTTATAGTTGAAGATGTCCCAACAACGGCGTCTATTGTAGAGTTACCTAAAGAACCTATGAACGAGTCACGTGATTTATCGGAGTATGCCGGACTAAACTTTATTCCAAACGACCCTGACAGAATGTTCCAGAACCTTACAGTTGCTGCGGCACGTGTCATGACATCATAGTTATATATAGAATCGTACGACATCATCTTATTATTTGATTGGTAGTTAGTTCAGACTCAGTTTCGATCTCAGTTACAAATATGTGTATATAGGTAGTGTCTTGTAGTCAGTAGTTCTTTAGTTCAAACCTCTTGTATCTCCTAGTGAGCAATCCGAGACGTACCTGCTGCCTTATCCTCTTTGTGATTATCTTGTTGTTTGAGTCCTAGTCTCTGCCCAGCGTTAATTCGTTATTGGGTTGTGACAATTACTGGATGACTTTCCGTGGGCAAAATAATCCAGAATAGAATATTTCGGAGTCTCAAAAACATGACCAATAACGAAGATATGTTAATCTATACTAGAATAATCCCCCGCACGCTCAACCAATAGATTTAGTCCAGCTCTTGATGCGATGGACAGTCCTGCAGTCCAGTACATCAGACTCCTTAATGAAGAAGAGGCGGACATTTTCGACGATGATGAAAGAGCTCGCATCCTGGCTGCAGCTTTCGTTGCTGGGAGTGAGGCATCACGACAAGACCGCTGTAGGGATTCATTTCTGGCTGGGCTTGTAGAGACTGTTTTTACCTTACCTTATGTTGGCACCTTTGTAGCTTACATAAGGAAGTTATCTTTTCACCAGTTACCAGTAGGAGTCAGAGTACTCAGCAAGTTTTCATGATATTTCCTCTCCTCTGAGCCTTGAGCCTGGTCCAGAAACCCTTTAGGGTCGAATAGCAGCTAGGTTCTGCAAGACCCAACATTGTTCAGACTCACTCTCTGAATTGTTGTACCTTCACCGCATTGACACTCGCCACCCTCATTGTTTATATCTTTGCCGACCCCAACTACTTCCAAATCCTCGCATCGACACCCCATGGCAGGTACTATATAATAGCCAGAATGACCGAGCCTTCATCACTACAATGGGCGTGGATGTGTCCACCTTCTCTTCACTACTTACTACAGGCTTTGCGCAATGCTGGTATGAGACACCAATTCCTCGTGATGATGTCCATGCACATGGAAATCCGCGAATGAATCAGCGCTCCCTTGATGCTGCAGGGGCACTTGGGCTTGTGCTACATTATCTCAGCTCCACTATGCATGCTATCAGCCTACAGCAAATCTTCACTATCATTCCCAGTACCGTCACTCAATATCTTAGTTTCAGTCTCAAGCTTCTGCTATGCACACTTTGCACCATCCAAGACGCCAAAATTCAATGGCCAGGAGGCCTAGATTTCGCACGCTGCAGTGAACTTGTTGTGGCACGTCACGCAAGACTGAGAGGAGCATTCGGCAGCATCGATGGCCTCAAATTACCTGTGCAAACGTCTGATAACGTTGACATTGAGAATGCGACGTTTAATGGGTGGCTCTCAGAGCACTTTATCAGTTCCGTCTTGGCCTTTTCAGCTGAAGGTAAGTTTAATGATCCAGACTCGCTATAGTCCTGATTAATCATCTTGCAGGAGTGATTATTGCAGCACGCTTGAATGCGCCAGGCAGTTGGCATGACTCCCATGTCGCTCATCAAATCTATGTCTCCCTTCAAAATGAAACTCCCCCAGGTTATTATATTGTTGCTGACACGGCATTCCCACGTGGCAGCAATGACATCCAGGGCCGAATTCATGCACCTCTCAAACAAGGCCAATGTATTCAAGGCTCACTTGCTGAGATCAATGAACAGATGGCATTCAATCGTGAACTCCTTTCCTACCGGCAGACTGCTGAATGGGGCATGCGTGATCTTCAAGGTGCTTTTGGAAGATTGCGTGTACCACTCGAAATCGGCAACAAAAACTCGCGAGGCGATCTCATTGAGATCTGTGTGCAATTGCACAATCTGCGTGCAATCCGAGTTGGTATCAATCAAATACGGACGGTGTACCTCAAACATTGGCAGGAGACGGATGATGATATTGCAGTCTGGAGGGATTTTGAGAACATGTTGTTTGCAGAGCAAAGGCAGAAAGATCGAGTCGCACGTTTCCATATCACACTAGAGTACGACTAACAGCTTGTGGCTTCAATTAAATCACTACACTATCACAACAAAATGGTATATCTATCCATAGAGTGCCTTGAGCAGAGGGAGTGAGAAAACGAGACTTGAACTAAGCTGCGCGAATGCCTTGAGCGGAGGAAGGAGAGAAAACGAGACTTGAACTAAGCTGCGTGAATGCCTTGAGCGGAGGAAGGAGAGAAACCGAGACTTAAACTAAGCTGCGCGAGTGCCTTGAGTGGAGGAAGGAGAAACCGAGACTTGAATTAAGCTGCACGAGTGCCTTGAGCGGAGGAAGGAGAGAAACCGAGACTTGGATAAGCTGCGCGAGTGCCTTGAGCGGAGGAAGTAAGAAACCAAGACTTGAACTAAGCTGCGCGAGTACCTTGAGCAATTACACCTCTGGTGATTGACAATAAGCTGACTTGCTCTCTGGCAGGTCATCCACATCATCCATGGCCTCACTCTTGAGCTCTGTGTGCACCTGGGTCTCTTGCCTATTAGATTGAACGATCACGGAATTGCGTGGTGGTCCTGCACCACGAGAACGAGGTCTGGATGCCCAGCGACGGTGGGCAAAGCGAGGAGAAGGAGTAGAGTTGAAAGGCGGAGTAGGATTGGTATATTGATGAGAAGATGGAGAGTGGTCCGAAGCATCAGATGCTAGGGTATCTGGATCACTATGCCAGACCACACATTGGCCACCATCAGGGTAATAGGTGTAATCCGCCAGTTTGGGTTTGGGTCTGCGCTGGTGGTGAGTTTTTGGAGCGGCTTTGTTGGGAGGAGGCTGGTGCATCTGTGTCATCTCCAGACGAAGCTGGGTAAGGTCATGCTCGTGTTCAGTATCATATAGTCTCGTTTGCAAGTCAAACAGTTGGGTCCGCAATTTCTCTGTGACTGCATTTGCATCACGCAGCTGCTGTCCCTGGGCAAGCAGCTGCGTGTTCACAAGAGACCTAGTGGCACGATCCTCATCCCGAGCTTGCTGAACAGCAGGGTCAAAGGCCCCACTGATGCGAGAAAGCAGCTCTGAAGCTGCTGCACCTCAGCGACGTGGCATAGGTGTGTCTGTGCGGGTGGCGCGAGCGACTGCAGTGTGCTCAAGAGAAGACAGACTTCGCACCTTGTCGGTTTGTTCATTGCCATTCCACTCGTCATCGTGGGCATCATAGTCTGAGTCATTTAGGTCGCGGGTACCAGCACGTTCGTTGATGTGTGCATCAAGCTCATGGGCACGAGTTACATCCAGAGGACAAACTCCGTCACCAGTAGGTTTCGTAGTCTTTACAAACTAAGGTTGAAATGTAAGATGGCTATCATAGAATAGAGTACGACTTACTTGTTTGAATTTAGTTTCGAGTGAGGCGGCTTTACGGTGAGGGCGGCCGTTACGGGTTGCCCACTGTGTGAACTTCGAGTGTATTAGTTGCCACCCTTTCTGGCCCAGAGGAAGTTCGTCTTCGACAAGGTCAAGGAGCACTTTGACGTCAGCCGTACTGTAATTGTTGGAGCCATTGGGCCGACCACGTTTGGCCCTTGTACCATCTTCATCATCCTCGATAGCACAAGCATGCTTTTGAGGGCGGTCAGCACTGTCCAGGTTAGTATTCTCCTTATCTTTTCCCTTGCCTTTGTTAGCTCTACTAGCCTTGCGACGTACCCCGCCAGTTTTGATAGCAGGTGTGTATCCACGAGCCTCGGCAATTACCAAGGGATCATGAAGGTCCCTATCCAGTGATTCTGGGAGTGGGATATTAGCAGGGTACTGGTATGTGTGAGGTGGTGGGAGGTGGGATCCAGACAGTGATGGTGATGGTGACAAGCAAGGTTGGGAGAAGTTTGCAGGAGTTGTGAGTCGATACATAGAGGGCGCCGCTGCATGTGGCTAAAAAGTGATAAGTACATGTTACGAAGCTCAGAGAATGATTAAAACTTACATCATAAGCCTGGGACATGTATCTGTCTTCAGACTGAGTCACGGCCTGCGCAATTCCAGGATTGGGCTGCCAAATGCCTGAGATATCATGTGTGTATGCATTGCCTGCATTATCATAGCGCAACTTGGGAATCATTTTGCTAATAGGGACAGTCATAAGTTGGGAAGGGCGAATATGGACTGAATGTTTGAGTACTGACCTTGTGGCTACTGATGCATGAACTTTATATGATCCAAGTCTTTGTTTAGCCGTCGGCCACAAGGGGTGGGGATATTCATCATAAAAAAAAAACTCGACGACCCTGGGCTGGACTGGCTGGTAACAGTGCAATGCGAGCGCGCAAAGGCAAAACAGACAGACTATGAGCGTGCCAAATCTATATTGAGGTGTTGTAAGGAAAATTTCGTTGACAGAGGGCGAGGATCGGTTGGAGCCAGACGCTAGGATGAATCGAGCAAGATTGGAGGCACCGGAGGGTAGGAAGTTCATTAGTGCACATAGACAATCGAGTATGTCATTCTGAGCACCAGGTGTCATCTAAATAGAGCCAGGAGATAGATATATTAGCACAATGGATGAAAGGTTGAGAACGTAGCTTGGTATCACTGCGCAAGGTGTTGTGGTGCATGGCATGCATGTCGAGCAAGGTGGATTATGTCAGCGGATATTGTTGGCGTTAGTGACCGACACATGTTTGCAAATTGACAGGAAATGAACAGCGGCATCGCGGCACACCTGCCTAATACGGTCAAATTTATGATATGATATTCTAATCAGAATATTTCGAGCCTGCGGAAAGTCATCCACTAGCTAGCTCACAACAGAACCACAATCCATCACCCATAATTCATCCGGACTAACCAATTGCTATATGATTTGATTTACGACATACGGAGTAATCTTCTTTTTTTTTCACCGCGTTCGCGTGGTTGCCATTCACCATCGATTCCAAATTCAACATAAAGTAATACTGTCAAAGGAAGGCAAAAAATTAGATCTTTTAGACACAAAAATATCTATGGTGGTCCATCAAGCAGAAGGCTTCCACTCAGCAAGCCACTCTTTCATGTACATCAATCCTGCTTCCTGCACGGCCGCGACTGTCGGATCTACAATGCCATCTTGTACCACCAAATCTGTACAGTGGAATCCATCCCCCACATAGATAGGCCTACTGGTAGTGTTAGGCTTATTCAGCCCATCAGCAGAGACAGTTGCCTCGCGCCAAGGGTCACGCATGCCATTCGCGAAGAAGAGACGCGGGACGCTCGCATCCCAACCACCGTACATTGCGTTCGTCTCCTCCGTGGTAGGCTCAGGTGGGGAGGCGAATGCTTCAGGGAACATGTTGACGCATTGACGCTGACAATGATATCGACGAATGGTCATCTTTCAAGTTATACTGTACATACCTGCTGATAAACGGGTTGGAGGATGCGGCTCACGATGGCAGGCTCGCACTCGGGAGGGCCAACCTGCCATCCGACTTGAATGGGTTGGAGGGTGCGGCTCACGACGGCAGGCTCGCACTCGGGAGGGCCAACCTGATACCATCCGACTTGGTTACACCTGGAATGGCTGTCAGCGTGGACATTGAAGCGAATGAGAATACCTACACGATCCAGAACCACGACCTGTTTGCATTATCTACGGTGGCATTAGTCCAATAGGACTCGCTCGTGTCATACGTTCCAAGACAAGTTCTAGTGTCACAGTCAGCCAATCCGAACGACTAGGTCCCAAGGATACGTACTCAGCATCAGTAGATCCACAGACTTTACTATCAAGTTTAGCTATGTCAATCGGAAATCAAGGGGACCGGCGCCTACTATGTTTGTGGTATGTATTATTCCAGAAGTTTCCCCAAGAGGAGATGGCGTTTTCAAGTCCCCATCCCTCAGGTCCGGCACTGACACCGTTCTTGACCTCGAGTGCATCGCAGAATTGGAAGAACATTGCTCCTGGGCCAACAGTAGGCTGTAGAGATTGCCAATCGAACAGGTTACTTTGAACTGTTGGTCCGAGTAGGGTCAGTAAGGTAATAAATATGTATTCTCTGTCAAAGAGGACGACTCACGTGCGTTGGCAAAATCTTCTACATGAACAACATCACCGAGGCCAAATGCCTCCTTGAGCGTCTGGATTCCAGCAGTGTCACCAACCGCGTACATGTGATCTAGGTAGGAGATCACTGCTTCTACATCAGAAGAACAGTTCTGTGGCATGTGCTCGTGAATTGGGGTAAAATATTTATAATAGTTGCTGTTTTGGTCGAGAGCCATTAACAAGAAATGAACAGTGATTGCATCAAAGCAACGTACGTTATTGCCTCTACGACGCCAGATGATGAATATCCAGCCCAGAAAATTCCCGGTTTGCTTTGTGTCTGTCACTATACTGAAACAATAGAGGTATTTTTTGGCTCACTTGACCATTATCCAACTCGTGAGGGCTCCTGAATAACTTCCTCCGACCAGGATCCACGGTGCCTGACCTGGTTTGACAGCATCACCCCCAGGCATGGGAAGGTCGGCTGTGGTCGCAAAATACACAAGATCATCAATGGCCTGCTGGATGGTGAGGAGCGCGAGAGATTGTGACGTGAGGTTGTCGTATGGGTTGGAATAGCCAAAGAAACGATGTTCGATGATGATAGCTGCACCATTCTGTTGTTGAGCGATGAGACCGTTGATAGTTTCATTGGTAGTGAAGATCTCGGAGCCTAAAAATCAAGTGCTTGAGAGAAAGTCACAATTGAGTAATATGGCACTCACCATCTGCGTTAGATTCTCCAGGCGTCATCAAGATAATGGGGCCACCTTCAATGAATCTCATTAACATCGAGCACACCTCGATCCTCGCTACATACCGGGCTCATAAAACTCCCAGTTCATCCAGTATCGCTGCTGGAACGTTCCAATGCCTGGATTATTGTGGTCTATGAGCTGGTCAAAATGATAGACGGTCGTAATGGGTGGGAGCGTTGTGTCATTCGATGAAGTGAGGAAGCGTTCAGGCAGTGGAAGTTTTGGGAGGGAATGCTTGCCACGAAGCATGGCATTAGGGATAGCTGCTTGGGCGATGCCTGCAAGTAGGAGAGACGTAAGGGCCCACATGATGCCTAACCCTCGGTCGCAAGGATAGGATTAGACAACACGGTCGAGCAAAGCCTTTTTATAGTCATGGGGAGGATGCGTAAGTGGATATATGCACTGTTCCTCGACGCGTAAGAAATATTGGACGTAGCTGCAAGTGTGTCAGTTGGGTTCGGTTGATTCTAAAAGGACCCGATGATGGATTGACAGCCAGCCAGCACTTTTCCACAGCCATTCAATTCGGGTTTCTTTACATGTGCTAACCTATCTGCTTCCTCAGGGAAGCTCCCGCCCATTTTCTCAAGCTTCTTGTCGAGTTCCTCTCGAGTTACGTGACCGCCCTGTTCTGTGAACTGAAGAGAGTTCTGTAAGATAGGCATCACTCGTATCCAACACCCTTACATAATCGTAACCCTAACCCTAAAAATGGCCAAACCTTCGACTTGAAAATTTTCAACAGTTGAGATTGAGACTGCAGAAAGATTAGTGACGAGTTTGTTATTAGTACATGTAGTAACACTATATACCGGTGCATTAGGCCTTTCTCAGTGCATGACGTCATAGAGTCCGAGTTGAGTTTCCGGTGTAATGCTTTGGCCTTCCGGTATCTTTTGACCTCTGTCTTTCCCCTTCGGCAGCAGTATTCTGTGCATGAAAGAGGATTTCTGAGAATGTGAGAAGTGCTGCTTCATCCTGTATATCTCCCTCTTCTTCCACACTGAACTCCATATCATCCTCGGAATCACTGCAGCTGGAGTCCTCCTCAGAGTCAGAGACATCTTCGACCGTGGCTTTGTGGGACCTGGAAAGTGCAGACTGAATATTTTTGAGACAAGCCTTATTAGCTTTAGACTTTACACCCATTGAGAGATGCTTTATGTGTGTAATATCCCTGATTTTTGCTGCCTTCTCCTTAGTGTTGCCGCAAGTCGACGCGGTGTGATGCGGTGCTAGCGAACTCGAACAAGTAAACGATTCGAGTTGTATCGAGTTACACACCAGTGCAACTAGCGAGTTTGGATGTTGTTCGGGAATTAAGTCCACCAATCAACGGGCTCAGATCTATCTCTTTCTGGTTTAGCAAGTCAAATTTATTGGCGCATAAATAGCTATATTTGGCAGAAACAGAATTATACATTTCTACAGTCATGTGGGCATGTACATGGTAGTAAAGAACTCATGTGTAAAAAAGTAGAAATTTTTTGATTTTATATGGACCGACGAAGCAAGTAGGGCAGACATATTGACGGGGTATAATGGCGAGGTGTAAAGCACTGGAGAAGTGCTCAAGATTGCATGAAATACTCGAGCTACAGTCGGCAAGATTATAGAGACTTACAGTAACATTGATCAGATACCAGGGAAGCTTATGGGAAAGTCTTCTCGATATGTCAATCACCAACTCGCAGTGCAACTCGATGTTTACACCGCATGGGGCAGTTGCCATGAGTTGCGTAGATTTCCGAGTCGAGTCGATGTTAACTCGATTTCAACTCACACCGGCGGCAACACTACTTCTCCTCCTTGTCCTGCCCAGGCACATATCACGTGATGTATTATATAAGCGGCCAAAAGTTGGTGTGCCGAAAACTTGAAAATCATTCCCTCGCATCCCATGGCCTTGTAAACTACTTTCTGACTGTATAGAACAAAGCATTACACCGGAAACTCAACTCGGACTCTATGACGTCATGCACTGAGAAAGGCCTAATGCACCGGTATATAGTGTTACTACATGTACTAATAACAAACTCGTCACTAATCTTTCTGCAGTCTCAATCTCAACTGTTGAAAATTTTCAAGTCGAAGGTTTGGCCATTTTTAGGGTTAGGGTTACGATTATGTAAGGGTGTTGGATACGAGTGACGCCTATCTTAGACCAGTCAAATTACGCCAACGTCCGACACATGTCGTCACGCTGCCTATAACACCAAATGTGCGTTGTGCCACTCTTTTCTCCACACATCAATGTCCGAGTGTTTAGGCCTCCGGAAAACGCAACTGCTGGAGAAAACCTGAAATTTGACTGGCGGTTGCTGGTCAATGTGGTAGTTAGAACGGAAGGGGAAAAGGTGGTGAGAAAGTGCCACCCTGCAGAAGAAGCCGAGCATGATGCATGATGCGCCACAAACGTTATCGGAAACATAGAGGCTGTGTAACTTGGTGTTGGTTACTGAAGCTTGAAGGTGGACAATGACACTCCCACGACACAAGGGACCTGACAGAAACTCATGCTGTGAAACCCGCGATGGCTCCAACTCCGACAATTCCTCCTTCGACACTCCCGACTGTAGTCCCAACATTCGAGTTTTTCGAATTAGGCGACGAAAGTCCTGCCGTCTGAAATAGGCATTGGAGATACTTTGCTTGGAGCAGGCATCGAGGACCCCACGCTTGTGGTCGATGTGGGTACGCTAGTGAACACTTGGTTGCATTAGATTCTAGTAAATCTACAAGAAAGCGAGCAACAAGGTTTATACCACAGAAAAATTATGTGAGGCCGACCTGCGTCCAGTCCCGCCGCTGTGGTGTTGAACATGTTACTGGTTACCTTGAGGTATAACAATTGGGAATTTAGGATGCTGCATCTACTGACAACATCCAGGTAAGCCGCATTCTGAACCAAGATGCCAGTTGGAATGGTCTCCACGTCTAATGGTAAAACGAAGTTCAAGGTTTAATGATATAAGGTCGCAGACTGACGGCTGGGTAGAAGACGTGAATCGATTGAATTTCTATGAACTCCAGCTTTGAAATACCGTGAAGTCGAGCATTCTTGCAAGTCGATCCAACTCACCTCTCGACTGTGACGCCATAACAAACGCCGGGGGCGCTCGGCAGCGAGTAGGCTACTGTATTGCCACATTGGCAAGGTTTGGCTCCGTCGAGCAGAGGGACCTATATATCGCGCTGCGCGCATCCACAGGGATAGCATCGATCCCAGGATCTGCCCGAAAAATAAAATTGGCGGGTCAAGGCACATCAAGAAATCAAAAGCCATACTTTTCCACCACTGCAGGGGCTCCCGAAGTAGGCAGAAACCGAGCACAGATCCTAGGCATGAGCATTATTCATCTGATCTCACCTAAACATGCGTTAAAGCAAAGAAAGTAAGTGCTCAATCAAAGGCCCCGAGGCACATGATGATAATGGCTATTATATATGCAGGTGTATTTTGGAGTCTCTTGGAGTGCAGCGATGACAGCTATCAGGGCCACTATCCATAACCATGCCTTGGTGAGTGGAGAAGTAACGGATGACATAGAGAAGGAAAAAGCGGGTGCAACTACCTAACAGAATCCCGTTATTAAGGTAGGCATCCTCAAGGCTTCATGATGCAAAAGGCGGCAGCCCATGAAGAAGTTGTTAAGAAGGGTTGTAATCATGACAGCTGGTACGGCGCTTAGAGTAAAAATACCTGTCAGTTGCCCAGTTACCCTTACTAGACTCGCGACTGCTTTGATGAGTCTGGCCCGGTGATGTTTGATATAGTGGTCGATTTTGGAGTGGCGTGCCACCAGCAGAAGGGAGGAGTTTAAATTTTGGGCCGGTGCCGTGAGGTCGGACGGTCGGATATCCGAGGTGTCCTCCGGCCGCCGATCTTCAACCCATGCGGCATTTCTAGGTCATTGAACTCAACCTTCATCTATTTGAAGTACACAGCGCTTCATGGTGCACAATGCTATGATGAAGCAATCCAGGCCTTCCAAATCATGATGACCAAATTGGATGATGCCACTGACGTTCCGACTCAAAGTAAGCCCCCACTAATGTACTGAGCATCGACATGCTTAACTCTTTTTGCAGAGCTGCGCCAGCAGTATCTTAGTCCATCCGAAGTAGCACATGACATTCGACAGGTTATTGATACACAACTGGAAAACGCACCATTTCGTACACTCGGTACTATCACCGAGCTCTTATGTGATTGAGAAGCGCAGCCTGTTGAGATTGGCGCCGAGACGCAAGGTACGAACGCAGTCTCGGTTCGGAAGTTCCCGCGCTGGGCGCAGCGCTAGAAGATTAATCGTATGATATTCATTTGCGGACAGAAAATTTACTTACAAAACGAGTCGTTGAGATAGAAACATCTCAGTCCTGTCCTACTGACTAGAGACTGAGATGTGAGTACAGATACCCACTTAGACTGCCTGTATATTGATGAACCTACTATTAGATATTCATTTAGGTACATACCAAGAGTCCTGTCCTACTGACTAGAGACTGAGATATATTCGTTTAGCCTTGCCCTCGCGTTATCAACCTCAACAGGTTATGAGCCCTGCTGCTTCAGCAATGGATACAATGCTCCCCAGTGCCGGATCCTCATTATTCAACATTCCCCAGCTTGCCGAAGACGGAACAAACTGGATAACTTACAAGGAGAGAATATTGACAGTGATCGGCGCCAGAGGTCTGATGCGTTATGTCGATGGGCGCGCGGCAAAGCCAGTGCCTTACACGATTGATCCAATAACGAGCAAACCAAAGAAGCCAGATGGTACAACGGCCACTGATGCTGAAGTCGAGGACCTGGACAAGAAAATTGATGAGTTCTATATGAAAAACTCACTCGTCAAGCAGCACATCTTTAGCACGATCACGGATCGGCTACTGCTGCGTGTCCAAAAGCTGGACAGTGCCTCGAAGATATGGGAGGAGATTCGGACCATACACGAGGGCAAAAGTGATTTTGTCCAGATAGACCTACGCCGTCGGTTACAAGAGACTCGATGCGAGGAAGGAGGGGATGTAAAAGCTCACCTTGGAGAGCTAATGCGGCTACGTGAATCGCTAGCCAGCATGGGAGCATCACTCGACGACAAAGATTTCGCGGCCATAATTATGGGGTCGCTACCAGAGTCTTATCGTCCTATCCTATCATCAATGAATGCAGCAGCTCGCGTCTCGAAGAAAGTACTCTCACCAGAAGAGATCATGGGCATTGTCTCGGAAGAGTACGAGCACCGGGTTATTATGAACCCAACAGTGTCGAAGAAGGGAGGGAACACAGCTTTGACTGCGGGCGCAAAACCAGATAGGTCGAAGGGCCGAAATGGTGGTGGAAGCTCGAGTGTCACCTGCTACAACTGCAATAATGTCGGACATGTTAAAGCAGACTGCTGGAGTAAAGGCGGAGGCAAAGAGGGTCAGGGACCTAAAAGACGGGGACAAAGGAATGGACGCTCACAGAAGCCAGCTGCCAATGCAGCCACCCAGTCCTCTAGCACGACAACAGCAGGAGAGAACTATGCATTTGCCACATCAGACTTGGCAAGTGTAGCAAAACAGATCAACATACCAGTCGAACACCGTGGAGCAATTGTTGACTCCGGCGCGACATCTCATTTTTGTCCTGATCGCTCAAAATTCACGAGCTTCGTCCAAATCGAGCCGCAGGAGGTGCACACTGCTGACGGATCAAGTATTAGTGCTGTTGGTCGCGGAAACATCGAAATAGACTTACCATTAGGAAAAACAAGCACCAGAGTTACACTCAAGGACACTCTCTACACCCCGAAGATGGCTTTTACCTTGATCTCGACAAATCGTATTGCTGCAGCCGGTCTTGCAGTCCATTTCGAAGATGCCATGTGCAAAATCCTATCCCCCGCTCCAACACGAAAAGTCATTGCCGAAATTCCACAAATAAATGGACTATATAGTATCGCTGCAAGTCCTCATCAGCACGCAAACATTGCCAAGACCAAACTCACCATTAGCGACTTACATCGTGCCCTAGGCCACGTATCTCAGGCCGCGATTGTTGATGCCATCACGAAAGGCCTTATTGAAGGTGTCGAGCTTGACTCCACCTCAAAGCCAGAATTTTGCGAAGCCTGTACTCAAGCAAAGGCTACACGTCAGCCATTCCCGAAGGAGTCACCAAACAGAGCCAAAAAGTATGGGGAATTAATCCATACTGACCTTTGGGGACCGGCGCAGACAGCAACAATCAATGGGTGCCTGTATTATATAAGTTTCACCGACGACTTCTCGCGTGAAACACAGGTCATGTTCCTAAAGCAGAAAAGCGAGGCATTAGCGGCATTCAAGACATATGAAGCGAGGCTTACCAGGCAGCATGATAGCGCGAAGATCAAGGTCCTTCGTTCGGACCGTGGTGGCGAATACCTAAGCTCTAACTTCAATGTGTACCTGCAAGAGAAGGGAATCAAGCGAGAACTTACTGCTCATGACTCGCCGCAACAAAATGGGGTTGCGGAGCGTCTGAATCGCACATTGGTCGAGTTGGCACGAGCTATGCTAATTGCAAAGAATATGCCGAAATTCCTGTGGGCAGAAGCGGTTAACTATGCTACATGGTTGAAGAATCATTTACCTTCCCATGCCATCCCCGGACACACACCGTATGACCTAATTCATGGTCATCGTCCAGATCTATCCCGCGCACACGAATTTGGGGGGAGGATTTTCGTTCATCTCCCACATGCTGCAAAACTCGAACCGCGAGCTGAAGAAGCCGTGTTTGTAGGTGTTGATCTCGAGAGCAAGGCATCTCGAGTATATTGGCCTGCGAAGAGATGGGTTTCTGTTGAGCGAAACATCAGCTTCGTCCCAACAATGGTACATGCAGCTGATGATGTACTGGCCGAGGGGGAGTCTGAGGTACCTGTGCAAGAGCCACGAACCTTGAACCACGTCCAGCACATCAAACCGACACCAGAAGTGCCAAAAACCCCACCTCAAGTTGCGCAACCACTTCCCACACCACCAACACCTAGACAAACTCGCGTACGTCCACCAGCAGGCTACTATCGTGCACTACATGAGGGGGAGAGAGCCTCAGTCGCAGCAGAAGCAGATGAGAGCCTAGAGCCTACCTCGCTAATCCATTGGGCACTTGCAGCCGCCGAGCCAGAACCAACGCTAAAGGAAGCATTGAGTGGACCGGATGCCGAAGAATGGCAAGAAGCTATTGACTATGAGATAGGTCAGCTCGAAAGGTTAGACGCATGGGAGATAGTAGACGCACCACCTGGAGCCAACATAATACCATGCCACTTCATGCTAGCCACCAAGCGAGGCCCAAATGGCGAGAAGTTGAAACTGCGGGCACGTTTAGTAGCAAATGGTCAGCGGCAGAAAGAAGGGCTAGATTATTCGGAGACGTTCGCACCTACATCGCATATGACCACCATCCGAACGGTACTATCAATGGCAGCACGTCAGGACTGGGAGGTTCATCAAGTCGATATCAAAAGTGCTTACCTTAATGCACCGCTCAAAGATGACATATATATGCGAGCCCCACCAGGATACCTAAAGCCGGGAGACGAGAACAAAGTACTGAAACTTTTGCGAAGTTTGTATGGCCTTAAACAGGCAGGGTTCGAATGGTCGGAAGAACTCGAAAGATTCTTCCTGGACACCGGATTCAAGCGCTCGGAGGTTGATAGGGCAGTGTACTATCGTCATAGGAAGGACGAGCACATGGTCATAACTAGTTCAGTTGACGACATGGCCATCACTTCGAGGTACACGAAGCATATCGAATGGTTTAAGGACCAACTTCGAAAACATTTCGAAATCACCGATCTAGGGGAGCTTGGGTGGTTATTAGGATTCACCCTATCCCAGCAAGCATACGTCGAGACCATCCTACAACGATTTCGCATGCAAGACGCTATGCCTGCATACACACCAATGAACCCTGGTGAAATCTTGTCCACAGATCAGTCTCCATCAACACAGGCAGAGCTGGAAGATATGAAGGACGTACCTTATCAGCGAGCCATCGGCTCGCTGATGTATGCAGCAGTCAGTACACGCCCTGATATCGCATTTCCAGTGGCAATACTGTCGAAATTCATGCGAAACCCGGGATGGACACACTGGAAGGCTGTCAAACAAATCATCCGTCATCTCCAAGCTACCAAGAACATGCAGCTTACCTTAGGATTAACTGACACGGGCATAGAAGCCTTCGTAGACGCGGATTGGGCGTCCCAGCCTCATCGGCACTCGATAACAGGGTATGTTGTCCTGTTAAATGGTGGGCCGGTGGCCTGGAGTGCCAGAAAGCAGTCGTTAATTGCACTCTCGACGGCCGAGGCAGAGTATATAGCGCTCACCAGCGTTGCTCGCGAGATCCTATTCATACAAGCTCTTTTGGACGAGTTGTATGGACCGACTCCAGATTCAATTCCTGTATATTGCGACAATCAAGGGGCTATAGCGCTGGCATCAAACAATAAATTTCACGGACGCACCAAGCATATCGACATCCGATACCATTATATCCGCGAACTCGTCAAAAATGGCACCCTCCATCTCGAATATTGTCCCACTGACGACAATCTTGCTGATATCCTCACTAAAGCGCTGCCACGGCCACGCCTGGAGAAATTACGTTCGAAGATGTCGTTGGGAATTAGCGGGGCCTAGGTGGTGATGATTGTGAGCTGAATCGAGAAGTTGCGTTCGAGGGGGAGTGTTGAGATTGGCGCCGAGATGCAAGGTACGAACGCAGTCTCGGTTCGGAAGTTCCCGCGCTGGGCGCAGCGCTAGAAGATTAATCGTATGATATTCATTTGCGGACAGAAAATTTACTTACAAAACGAGTCGTTGAGATAGAAACATCTCAGTCCTGTCCTACTGACTAGAGACTGAGATGTGAGTACAGATACCCACTTAGACTGCCTGTATATTGATGAACCTACTATTAGATATTCGTTTAGGTACATACCAAGAGTCCTGTCCTACTGACTAGAGACTGAGATATATTCGTTTAGCCTTGCCCTCGCGTTATCAACCTCAACACAGCCTGCAAACAAGCGCCTTCAAAACGAGTGTAGAGTACAAGGAGCTTGTGTCATCAACAATCACGCATACAGACTTCAGAATGAAACGCATCAATGAAACAGTCGCAACGTACTTTCGTTATGCCATGTTATCACACAGGTGGGAAGGGAAGGAGCCACTGCTGCAGGATATCCAGGATAAGGTCTTGTACGAGCTGAATCCCGTTGGCAGCATGGTAAAGTTGCAATCGTTCTGCAAAATTGCTTGCCGTGCAGGGTACCGCTGGGCGTGGAGCAATACGTGTTGCATCAACAAGAGCAATAGTGTGGAGCATCAAGAAGCAATCAACTCCATGTTTGATTTGTATCAACACTCGGCGCTCACGATCATCTACCTGTCGGATGTCCCATTCTTGTCGAAGTTCGGCGCATTGGCAAATAGTGATTGGAACACACGCGGATGGACAGCTCAAGAACTCCTTGCTTCTCAAGTCATTCTCTTTTATCAGAAGGATTGGACTTTATATCTCGACGATAGCTCTCCCAATCACAAGGAGTCTGTCGCGATCATGCAGGAGTTGGAGTATGGGACAGGCATAGATCGACAAGCCATTGTTGCCTTCCGTCCCGGGATGAAATGCGTTAGAGAGATATTCCAGTGGGCATCCACACGTGTCACAACATTGCCGGAAGACATCGCTTACTCTTTATTCGGCGTCTTCGGCGTCCGCCTACGTGTGGATTACGGTGAGAAGAAGCAGTGCGCGCTTGGGCGGCTTCTGCGGAAGGTCATAGCTCAGTTGAATGATGGACTGGCGTGGCTGGCTATGTGCCTCCGAACAGTGACCTGGTGGAATGGATGATCTCTGACTACGACAACTGCCTCTCTGGGACCTTCATGCTGACTAAGCTAAGCTAACCCTTGCTCCCTTGCTTCCGTCGGCCTCCACTGGCCTCTGCTAGCCCTTGCTGGCTCTCTACCCCGATCACCCCCTGCTAGGGGGTGCCCCACTCCATGTGCCCCCCTTGAAAAAAACCTGGCGGCGCCCTCGTCGCCTCCTCTTGGCCTCATCTGCTCTGCAGCCTCTGCTCGCACCATCTCACCCACAAGTTTCGTCTAACATCTTCCTTCTGACTCTTCGTTTTCATCTTCTCGTTCTTTGTCCTCGTGTTCTTCCTCATCCATATTATCTCTCTCCTCTGGTGCCTCCTCTCTATGCGACTCTTCTCTCCAGCTCTCATTCTCTTTTTGTTTTGCTACATTTTCTTCGAGCATTCGCTGTTCGTTGGCTAACTTGGTGTCTTCTCACGGTATGAATGCTCGTATCTGTCTGGCATGGAACTCTCCTGCGATGCGCTCTCCACGTAACGTTTCGAGTTCATATGAGTTGCATATCCGTGCTGCGATGCGGTGCGGCGGTGACCACTTAGGTAACAATTTCCGTTTGGCCTCGAACGTGTAGTCCATATTGCTACGGTAGAACTGAACCAATTGTCCTGTATAGAATATAACCTCACCTGGGCTTCGTTCTAGAACACGCTTGTCGAACACTGCCTTTCTCTTGATTGCGTGACGTACGGCTGCATCATAGCCGTCAAGTTGCTGCTGCGCTACGTATGCCATATGGATGGCGATATCTGCTGTACGTATTGTCGACGTGCAATTGCTAAGATCAGTGTGTGGCGTGTTGACTATTTGTCCAAGAAGTAGTTCTTTTGGCGAAAATTTGAGTGCTGGGAGTATCCGGTGGTTCAACGCAGTGATTGCCTCATCCAGGTGGTCTGGCCAATTTAACGGGAGCCTGTCCCATGTAAGTCCTTCATAATCGTCCTCCCCTAGGTTTGGGGCGCATAGTCGTTTGAGGACGTGCAACAGGATTTTGTTCGTGCCCTCTACTAAACCATTAACCCAGGGTGAATATGCAGCTACAACGTGAGTTTTGCAATTCCACTTAGCGCAAAAGTCTTGAACTACAGCATTATTGAAGTGTCTGCCCCCGTCTGACATAAATGTCTCCGATGCTGTGAAGTTCTGGAATATGTGCGATAAGCTGTTCACTGTCATTTTCACAGTTCCCATTGACTTATACTTGAATGCCCATATATGCTGCGAGAACGTGTCCAGGTATACTCCGAGTGTATTGTATCCTCGAGCTTTCAGAAGAGTGAGGTAATCTCCTACTAACAATTCAAACGGATGCCGCCGCGTTATCGGTTCTAACAATGAATGAAGGTGGGGCGTACCGAAGTTTTTGCACTTGCTGCATTCGCTAATGGCTGCCATGATAGATACATCGAGCTTCGGACTGTAAATGCGATCGGTTAGTGCGATTTTGATAGCATCCCTCCCCCAATGACCTCCTTCTGCATGTTGCCTTGCTGCTAATTCCTTTGCTTCCTCCTTCGTGACGCATTCCACCTTGGTTCGTGCTCGTACTGCCGTTCCTCCGCGTAGTCGCCACAGTTTCCCTTCTTGTATTAGGTACTGTGAGGCTTGGTGCCTTGCGCGTTTCCGGCTTTGAATCTCCTTGCCTTGATCAATTTGCAGCATCGCTTCGATGACTTCGAGGAATACTGGTTCGTTCACGAATCTTGTTTGGAGGCTCGATGCTGTGGATTCATCAATGTTAGTAGATATTAACAGTAAGTCATTAATTAGACCCGAGTTGGATTCCCAATCCTCGCTTACTGTCCACTCGCTTCCATCGACTAGTCCAATGTCTCGAGGGTGACCTTCCCATTGTCGACTGAGACCGTCTGCGATTACGTTGAGCTTCCCCGGTACGTGTCGTACATCTACGATGTTGTGAGCAAGTATTCTGTCTCGCCATCTCGCATGCACCGCGTTTAAACGGTTGCTGATGAGGATGTCTTTCAGCGCTTGACAATCTGTTTCGACCTCTACTGGAAATCCCCAGATCACGTCTGAAAACTTATCTAATGCGAACTTCAGTGCGGCGAACTCTAACAAGAAGGGCTTGTAATTTTGCTCTGTCACTGATGTCCGTTTTGAGGCAAATCCAATCGGATGAAGACGTTCCGTCCATTTGCCTGTTGGGCTTTGCATGCGTGTTCTCTGGGACAACACTGCTGCAAAACCTTCGGCGCAGCCATCAGATGTTACTACGAAATTCGAGCCATCGTACCTTGGGGCTTGCAGTATGGGTTTTGATACGAGTGCTGCCTTAAGATCCAGGAATACCTTTGTGTGCTGCTCCGTCCATAGATCGTTGAGCTTGAAGTTGCGTAAGGTGCGTCTGTACGTATTCTTCGTGTATGGGACCTTCAATGGTGCAGTTTTGACTAAGTCTCGTAGAGGCCCTTCTCATCTGGAATAGTTCTGGATTAAGTCCCGGAAGTGACTGGTGAGTCCTAAGAACGATTCAAGATTTAATGCATCTGGTGGTTGTTCCCATTTGACTACCGCCGTGAGTTTTGCTAAGTCTGGTTGAACACCTTTAGGACCTATTGTGGCGCCTGCAAACGTGGTTTCTGTCATGAATAAGCGGCATTTCGTAGGAGATAGGGAAATTTTGCGCTCGCAACATCTCTGGAATATTCGTGTTAGTTTCTCCATCATCCCTTCGAAAGTATCTGCTGCGATTCCTCCATCGTCGACGAACAATTCCATAGTGCTGTCCGCTAATATGTCGTGTAGGTTAGTGTTACGGACTAGGATAGTTCGAGCTCTCCCTAGGCGGATTGCCTAATCTGATAGCGGGCTCGCTATTGGAGAGACGGGGATCTTCTCTCAAATGAGAGGTTCGGGGGTTCCACTTAAGGTAGCGTCGGCTTTCCTTAAGGTGCGGCTTAGACTGAAGGACTGGGACTGTCTTTCAGAGGAAGTTCTGGATAAAACCTAGTAGAATCAAGTAGGGAATATACATGATTCTGTCTGCTCTATATACTGTCGTCCGTGTGCACAGACCAATACTACGTTCGGTAGGTAGGTATAAGTGTGTCTATACAAGGGCATCTTATCTGATGCCATGCGGTCGATTATCTATACATGAGGCTTACCATGCCTCTCTTATCTGTCCTCAAGGCTAAACATGCCTTGGAGTCTAACTGCGCATGCTAAGGCATGCGGCTTGTCTTCTGACCATGAGGCAGAGCTTCCTCATGATCCGGGTCGAGGACCATCTAGGTCCGATCAGATGTAGCCTAGGCTGGTCTAGGTCATCTAACGGCATCCAGGCCGTTCTAGGTGTCTCTACGAGTCTCCGTTGAGTCGGTAAGTCTTCCAGGACGGTGCATATGGTGGGATAGGGGCTAAGGTCATGATGACCTCCGTAGGAGGGGTTCTCGGTTACATGTTATTGTAACATTACCTCCGTTTCTGGGTCGAAGTCGCCGACTACGACAAAACTCTCTCCCGGGTTTCTTCGTCTGGAGTGGCAGTATTACTGCGGGTATCAATGGGAGTGGGCGAGCGCGGCGCGGGGTTGTTCGCGATTAGTTCTTCTAGCGCAACGTGGTTCTTCTCCCAATCTACGAGGAGTTCGTAGTATTCCTCGTCGTCTCGAAACTCTGGGAGGCATGATACTTCTCCGAGTTGAGGGCAGTGGACCGACAGGTGGTCGGGTCCGATTTCGTTGCAGACGCAACATACGGCGTCTGGACACTTTCTAAAATTGTGTCCGTATCCTCCGCATCGTCGACAGATGCAGGTGCGGTCTACTCGCGCTTTCTTGGTAGGGCGCGAGGGTCTTAACTTTTCTCCAATGCGTTTCTTCGCGATGTCTACGAGGTCGCTGAAGTTGTCGGGGAGTAAGTGGAGCGCTATTGCGCGGATTTTCTTCTGGTCTTCCAGCACTATGAGGGCTCTAGTTGCTGGGTCTAAGTCTTCACGGTTCACCGATATTTCTAGGTGTCGTGTGGTGCGGATGATGTCTATCACCAAGGACGCGGATGCGGCGATGTTGACATCTGACTGTCCTAGGATGTCGCTGATCTCTAGGAAGTGGTCTGGGGAGAGAATGGCCGTTTCGGCGACGGCGCCTTTCTCGAGGTGGTCGAGGATTTTGGAAAATCCCGAGTTCTTTAGGGGAACGATGGTAGAGGCTTCGATGTTGTTAGGCATGATTGTTGCGAGAGTTTCTGGCGAGTATATCGTTGTAGAGGGTTTATATGGGCCTCCAAGAGTGCTCTAAGCTCCGCTTGATCAGTTAACTTATCTTTTAATCTCTTTATCAAAGTTCAATCATGAAGGCGTGGAGTGCCTCATGGTTCTCTTGGCAGAGGGGGAAGTCACCATGCCAGTGCGGTTCTGTGATAGTTTCGAGTCATTCCGGACTATCAGAAGCGGAAGTTTTGCGTCATTGCGGACGTGCGTGTCTTGAGTTTTCGTTTTAGTCGAATTCTGTCAAGATTTGGGGTATGTCGTGTCGAGATGTTCTTTTTATTGATTTTCTCGATCGGCGTTCTAGAGGGTTCTATGGGCTTGCAGGAGTTTCCACGGAGTTCGTCTCGTGATAGTTTAGCGTCTTTCCGGACAGAGGTGAAGGTAAGGCATCCGGGGCTTGCAGGAGTTTCTCGGTGTGTTTAGTCTCGTCTTCAAGGTGAAGGGGTCCGTATCTCCGGGTTCGTCCTTCTATTCTCAGTTTTAGAGTCATGATGGACAGGGGATAGTTTAAGGTCTTTCCGGACCGAGGATAGTTTCAAGTCATTTCGGACTTCTGCGCAGTTTATAGTCGTGCCGGACTTAGGTACAGTTTATAGTCATGCCGGACTCATGGCGATTGTCGATATTTATAGATAAGGGTGCGGCCGGGGTGAGGGGAATTAAGAGTGAAATGAGTTTTAAATGAGAATTTCACCCCCCAAGTAGGTCGTTTGATCACCGATCAAATCTAGAAGTCTA